AAAAAAAAAAAAAAAAAAAAAGAGTCTGTCATTCGTGCCCGAAGTCTGACGACGATGTGTCTGGGCACACGCTTCTTTGGCCTATCCTGTTTGGCATTGAATCTAAGGTGATTGTCTGTTGCCAAATTCGGGACGTTTTCAACCATCATTTCTTCAAGCGTTTTTTCGGCTCTATGCTCTTTTTTCCCATAGGGACTCCGCTGACAAAAATGCTAGCTTCTTCTGTTCTTTTCCCGAGGGTCCCTGTGGCTCTGTTCCTTTTTCCAGTGCGTTTTCTCTGCTGTTCAGGCAGGTGATCCCTGCGTCTGTCCCCATGCTCGCCAGGCCCGTGTCCTCTCAGCGCTGCTCTGAGCCCACTGGGGGGACTTTTATTTCGATTTCAGTTCAAGATTTCCGTTTTGTTTTCTTTGTACCTTTTATTCCTCTAAAACTTTTCTTTTTCCACCGTTTTAACAGTGAGTCAGCCCGCACGGTTCCTCATCCGGCCTGCTTATTCCACGACCCCGTGATCCCGACGTCTGTGTCCCCCTCAGCGTTGTCTTTTCTCATTGTGTCGAGATCTTCCTGGTTATCGGCGTGATGAGTAACTTCAGACTCTGGTGCTCGGGCCCTCCGACCCTTACCACACTGGTTTTGCTCCACTTCTGTGTTAGCAGGCCCCCCACCTCTCTGGGGCACAGGGCACGTCTGTATCCCGGCCCACTCTCTTGGGCTGGCTCTGAAGGACCGCTTACTCTCCAGAGTCTTTGCCCTGCTGTTCTGCCATGCCTGCACGGGCGCCGCCCGAGCCCAGTTAAGTCCTGGGCGGGTTCCCTGGCCCCACAGAGCTCAGCTCTGAAAGCTTTGGCTGTCCGGATGCTGCCTGGTTTCCACGCGGGCCCCTCAGGGACTCTGTGGGCAGACTGAAGGAATTCCTTTCTCTCGCTGCCCCTCTCTGCAATCCTCCCCACATGCTCTTCCCAGGCCGCGTGGTGCAGGGTGGGCCCTTGTCTGTATGGGCCGCACCAGCGGAGTCTCCCTCGTCTGGGCTCCTGGTGCTTCTGGCTTGTGGCTGCTCTGGCCCCAAAGCCCGGAAACCCAGGAAGGAAGATCAGGAACCCGCAGCAGAGCGCCCCCTGAGCCCCCGCCCCTCGCCCCCCTGCTCCTTGCCCTCCCCCGCCCCTGGCCCCGGGCCCCGCCCCCGCCCGCTGGGCACCCTCAGAGTCGCTTTGGGCTTCCAGCTTCCAGGAAGGAGAGGGACAGGGCACACGCTCATGGTCTTGTCCAAACAGCAGGCTTGCGCTGGGTTTTGAGTGTTAAATAGACTTAAAGTTCTGCAATGGACCCAACATGTGATACATCCCTGTACTGATGTTGTTTTGAGAATTAATACGTTTATGTTCATGAGTGAGGCTGGTTTGTACTCTCTCTTAGGATGCTCGTTGTCAAATTTGGGGATCGCGGTTATTCTGGCCTCAAATATATTGGAAGATGTTCCCTATTTCTCTGCTTTCTGAAAAAGTCTGTGTCAGACTGACGTCAGTTTTTCCTGAACCATTAATAGATTTCAACTCTGAACCCCCTGGTTTAGGATTTTCCTCGTGGGAAGGTTTTAAAGTGTGAATTCAGTTTTTTTCACAGTTAAAAGATGATCCAGATTTTCTTTTTGGCATGTCACTTTTTGATATTTTATTAGAAAATTATCCGGTTTATCTAAGTTTCTGAAAATTTGGCATAAAATTGCCTGTAATATTGTCCTAAAAGTTTTTTTTTTTTTTTCATTTTTTTTTTTTTTCAACGTTTATTTATTTTTTTGGGACAGAGAGAGATAGAGCATGAACGGGGGAGGGGCAGAGAGAGAGGGAGACACAGAATCGGAAACAGGCTCCAGGCTCTGAGCCATCAGCCCAGAGCCCGACGCGGGGCTCGAACTCATGGACGGCGAGATCGTGACCTGGCTGAAGTCGGACGCTTAACCGACTGCGCCACCCAGGCGCCCCTGTCCTAAAAGTTTTAAAAGCCTGTAGGATCTAAAGTAATGACTGTGTTTTCATCGATTGCGTTGTTTCTGTTGACTTTTTTTTTCTTCCTTAGTCTTACCAGGAATTTATCTTTAAAAAAAAATTTTTTTTTTAACGTTTATTTATTTTTGAGACAGAGAGAGACAGAGCATGAACAGGGGAGGGTCAGAGAGAGAGTGAGACACAGAATCTGAAACGGGCTCCAGGCTCTGAGCTGTCAGCACAGAGCCCGACGCGGGGCTCGAACTCACGGACTGCGAGATCGTGACCTGAGCCGAAGTCGGCCGCTCAACCAACTGAGCCACCCAGGCGCCCCAGGAACTTATCTTTTTAAAAAGCCTTTTCAAGGAGCTAGCTCCATTACACATTTATTTTCTGTTTTCTCAGTATGTAGTATTACCTTTATTCTTTCTTTTCTTCTACTTTATTTAGTTGGCCTTCTTGTTTTTGAAATGGCTATTCAGCTCATTGACTTTTCACCCTTCTTTTCTAAAAAAAGCTACTATGGCCATAAATATTTTCTTAAATTTTTTTTAAATGTTTTTATCTATTTTTGAGACAGAGACAGAGCATGAGCAGGGGAGGGACAGAGAGAGAGGGAGACACAGAATCCGAAGCAGGCTCCAGGCTCTGAGTTGTCAGCACAGAGCCTGACGCAGGGCTTGAACTCACGGACTGTGAGATCATGACCTGAGCCGAAGTCGGACGCACAACCGACGGAGCCACCCGGGCGCCCCTGGCCATAAACATTTTTAAAAGGACAGTTTTCAATCCCTTCATTAAGTTTTGGTAAGCGTTGTACTAATGGTAACTCAGGCCAAAATAATTTCTTACCTCTACTGATTCTTTCTTTGACCTCTGGGTTGTAGGAACATTTTTTCTAATTCCCAGATGACTAGGAGGCTGGTAAAGACTGGCCTCCGCAGACATTAGGTGGTAAGCTTCCTCTGTTTTCCTGCAAAGATTCTTGCTTTCTCGATACTAGGGTTATACGTCACCTGTCGCCAGCGCCTCTCAGTTTGTGTTGGGACCACGTGCCTTCCACTCAGTCCTAGGGAATCTTCACTTCCAGGTGGACACACGGTGACAGTAAGCGTCCCCAGGCCTGGATGGCACAGACGTCTACTCCCCAAAGAGGGCAGTTGACCGGAAACTTCCCCAAGGGAAGGAGACCTGAACCTGACAGAATCCCTCTTTCTGCAGGAGGAGCCGTGCCGGCCGATGGCACACCCATGGGTCTAGCGCTCGGGAGGCTCAGAAACAGGACACATCTCCTGAACTTCCTGGTGGCCCGGCTCAGGCAGAAGGTATGGCCTCCCCTTTGACACTTGGGCTGGGCAGGTCTTTGGCTGGACCTCTTGGCCTCTCTGTGCCTCAGTTTCCCTCCCAGGAAGGGGTTATTGTGAGGTAACATGTCCCCAGCAAGGTGCACACAGTAAGGCCCGGTCACCGAGAGGAAAGTCCAGAGGCGCAGCGCCCATGGTGGGGCCCACGCAGGACTGCTGCCCCCTCGGGACACGCCAGAGCACGTGGGGGTGCCCTGATGTGGCGCGAGACGCCTCGGAGGCCCAGCCCTTTCAGTCAGGCTGGCCGCCACCCACTGTTTCCTGGGACGCAAGTTCTGCCCTGTCACACGTGTTGCCAGGGTCACAGCCGTGCTTTATTGCTACAAATTCATAATTTCTCTTTTTTTAGAGTTTTTTTTTTTTTTATCGTGGTGAAATATACATAAAGTGTACAATTTTCAAGCGTACGTTCAGTGACGTTAACTACATTCACAACGTGTATAAACATCACCACTGTGCATTCCCAGAACTTTTTCGTTATCCAAACAGAAACCGTCCCCATCGAACACTGACCCCACATCCCTTCCCCCGGGGACGTCTGCCCTGCCTCCGGGAGCTGGACGACTCTCCCGTGAGCGGGGTCTGCGGAATCTGCCCTCGCGTGACTGGCTCATTTCCCTCGGCCTCATGTCTTCGCGGCTCACCCACGGGCAGTAGCGTAAACCAGTGCTCATGCCTTCTGGGGACGGAGTGATAAACCACTGTGTTTCCCACACCGTCCGTCCTCCGATGGACACTTGGCTGCTCCCACGCTTGGCACTTGTGGAGAACGCTGCTGTGAACACGGTGTCCCAGCATCTGTTCAAGCCCCTGCTTTCAGTTCTCTGGGGTACGCGTGTAGGAGTGGAATTGCTGGGTCGATGGTGACTCTGAAGAACCACCAAGCTGTTTTCACGAGCGGCTACACCGTTTGGTGTCCCTCTGGCTGCGTGTGAGGACTCCGGCGGCCCACGTCCTGGTTCCCACCACCTATTTTCTGTCTTTTCGACTCTAGCCGATCCAGTGGGGCGAAATGGTACCTCCCAGTGGTTTTGATTTGCATTTTTCCTGATGGCTAATGATGCGGAGCATCTTTTCATAGAGTTATTGGCCATCTGTGTGCATTCTTTGGAAAAATGTCTCTTCAAATCCTTTGCCCATTTGTAATTGGATTGTCTTTTTTATCGTTGGGTTCGAAGAGTCCTTCGTGTACATTGGATACTAGTCCCTTATCAGATGTCCAGTTTGTAAATTTTTCCTCCCATTTTCAGGTTTGTCTTTTCACTTTCTCAACAGTGTCCTTTGAAGCACAGGTTTTTAGTTTTTACGATTCCTGGTTTTGTCTGCGTTTTCTTCCTGCTTATGCTTTTGGTGTCGGGCCGCCCTGTCGCCTTCTGTGTGGATATGTTCTTCGTGAGGCAACAGAAAGAGGGAATTTCACATGGTCCTTGGAGTCCATGAATACGTGAATCACACCACCTTGTATATTCAGACGGACCTCCGTACGCATGCGACGGGAGGGGGCTCGGGACGCTCTGGACTTGCTGCCTCCCGTTCTGCCCACTGCTGCAGTTTCACACACAGGCGTGCACGCGCTTTACAAACAGGAAATAAGCATTTAAAGCTTTAATTTTGTTTTGATAGTCAGAGAGCATATGATTATTGTGAGGAAAAATGTCCACTTCAAAGTGGTTTTTGTTTCTATTTTAATTAACAGCGTCTATCCAACGGTCACCTTTTTGATGCGTATGTGACAAATTCAAAGAATAAGATACTCACCAGGACTTCACTGTAGGAGTTCCTGGAATAGGAACACAATATTTTTTATCTTCCTGAGAATAAAGTGGGAAAGTCAGAGTGTAGAGAGGTGCCATTCTGTCCGTTGGTTCCTTTTTCCTTCCTTGTATCAGCAGGAGGACAGATGTTGTCCAGAGAAGCTGCCGAAGTGAGGGGCTGGGCCCGGAGCTCTGGCCAGAGACCCACTTTGGGGACCTCACGGCTGCCCTGTGGCGACCAAAGCTGCCGCGCACGCCTGGCACTCCCCTTCTTCACCTTCTGTGCACTCCTGCCTTCTGTCTGCTCCCCAGTTGTCAGTCACCTCCTCTCGACAGCCTTGGCTTCACCCCTCCCACCCCCCACCTCCCCCTCCCAGGCCCCGGATTGCCTGCAGGTGTTTGTTTCCATCTGTACTAGGCTCAGGAAGAGGGTTTGAGGCCTCTGCCTCCGCCCGGGCAGTTCCCGGCCTGGATGCTCCCCACCCAGCCTTGGAGTCCAATGCAGGCTCCGCCACAGGTGCCCGAGGCCACCCTGCAGGGGACGGGTGGGGCACAGGCCTGCGTGGCCACTGCGTTAAGCCAGAGAGGAGAGACTGACAAACGTGTTCCTTTCTGATCTTCGCATAGTTTCTGCTGTGCGCCTCTGCCCTTCTCCTGCTTCCCTGCCCTCTTGCCCTCTGGAGCTGGCACCCCTCCTAACGTTGCCCCTGAAACGGCCCCCCAGCTGCTGCAGAAACCCCTGGGCGCGGACACCGTCCAGCACGAGCTGCCCCACGAGGTGGGCCAAGTGCACCTGGAGGCTTTGGAGCTGCAGAAGCAGGTGGCTGAGCTCGAGGAGCATATCGGGAGCCACTGGCGGTTACGAGCCTTGGACCAGGTGGCCCTTGCGAGGCAGGTGGGTACCCCGCCCCACTGTCCCCCTCTTCCAAGTGGCCGCTCTCACAGTCGGGCCTGGTCCTCGGCAGACACGGTGCCGGAGGGGTGCGGCCCCACCTCAGGCCTCCGGGCCCTGGGACCCTCCACTTAAGGCCAGCGTAGGAAACCCGCACGTGTGAAGAGGGCTCTTCTGTTTCCCCTAAAAGGGAGTCCTTGACTCTTGCTAGGGCTTTGGGAAGCCCTGAAAGGAAATGCACATTGGGGGTTTTCCTGGTGAGGATTTATCTCCCAGAGCGCTTGAGGCCACGGCCCCTACACACGTGACAGTGGGCCCCGTGTGGGTGTCACTGGGGTTCCCGTCATGGTCCCCGTCAGGCCCTCCGCAGCCAGTGCCCATCTGGCTCCATGTTTGAGGCAACGTTCCGAGCCGTGAGAGAGCCCTGCGGCCGCCGTCCCCGCAGATCTGACAGACCGGCCACTTTCCTTCTCACCGAAGGCTGTTGGAAATGCTGTTGAGAGCGCGCATTCCTTACTGTCCGTTACCTGGGGGGCCCGGGGTTCCCGCGGTTACCTGTGTTATATGGTGGCCCGCGGTCACGACTGTACCGTGGTACCAGAGCGCACCCAGAGCTCCGGGCGCGGTGGTATAGGGCAACAGTCCTCATGTGTCCCAAGCTCGGTCCCAGGGGCGGCACTGACGGGCATGAGTGGGACTCGGCTCCGGGACCACGTCCGTCACCGGAGGACTGGAGGGAAGGTGGGTCCACTCCCTGCTGGCGTGGAAGCGCCTGGACGCGCCTTGGGGCAGACAGCTGTGTGAGAAACGGCCCAGAGGGGAGGCGGGACACAGAAACACCACCCGGAGGGCCAGCCCTCCTGCCATCCCGGCCACGGGCCCCCTCACCCCGTGTCCACCGTTCATCTCAGATGCTGCCCGTGCACGGCCCCGAGGTCGGCTGCGTGGGGGTTCCTATAATACCCCTCGCCTGCTTCGCGGATCCTGCTTGCTTAGGGGGAAGAGATCCTACAAATCAGCAGCATTTAAAATCCAGATGTTTAATTCTGTGGCAGGAAGGCTGGGGCTGAAGCATGTGTGACCTTGGGGAGAAATCGAGGCCCAGGAAACCTAGGGCCGGTCCCGGTGCCCAGACGAGGGCCGTTCCCGGGAGCGCCAGCATCTTGGCGGCCCGGAGCCTTGAGCGCTCCCAGTGCCGAGATCCTGTTTCCGAGCGTCTCGCTCTGAGAGGAAGCAGGATAAGTGGTGGGCTCCACCACGGAGACCCGGAAACAGGGCGATGGGACTGAAGGACGCAGGCACCCAAGGGCCTCAGGCGCTGGCCACAGAATAAGCAGGACTTGCAGCGTGGGGTCAAGGAGAGGGTGGAGGCGGGAGGCTGGTCCCCCAGATGCGGAGGGGCCGGTGCACCGGGCAGCCGTCCTGAAGCAGAAAGGAGAACGAGGCTGCGACGCAGCACCCATGACACCTCGGTTACAAAGGGAGAGGGCAGCTTTCCAGGGGAGCAGCCTGCAGACACTGCTTCCGAGGGGTGTGCTCCCATCGCGGACGCGGGGACAGACGGGTGTCCTGGGCTTCCGAGGCAGCCGCGCCCGGGGGTCACAGCCTGGCCGCAGACTGTAGCCACGAGCGACGCATTAAAACCGGCCTGTCAGGAGCCTTGCAGGGACCCGGGAGACAGCTGTCACGTGGGGCTCTGTGCCCAGGGCAGGAGAAACCAGCTGTGTGGGACATGACTGGACGGTTGGTGAGGTCTGCACGTGGCCTGTGTGTCAGGTCATAATGTTGCGTCCGGGGTAAACGTCGGTTGTTCGAAACCGTGGTTTGAAGACAACGTCCGTTTTGGGAGGCACGGACTGGAGCATCCAGGTGTCAGGGAGCCTGATGTCGCCAACTTAACTGTCGGCGGATCAGGGAGCAACCTGTAAGGTGAGGGGGCCAGTGGCAATGGAGCAGGGGGGTCGGTGCCGCCAGGGCACTGCCCTAGTAGCTCCCGTGCGAGTCTCACGTTCTCCCGGGTGGAGGCAGGTCCCACACCCCCCGGCCCAGGACAAGGGACCGTACAGAGCTCAGTCACCCTCTCCAAGGGCAGCAGAGACCACTGCGCGCCCGGCACCTGCACATCCCTGCAGCTGTCCTGTCTCCGGTGACCCCCGGCCCGGGGGGGATTGACCCAGGCCCAGGGGTCTCCCTGCCAACCTTCCTCCCAGTCCTAACGACCCTCCAGCCCCGAGCACAACGGGAGGGACGCTCTGGGTCCACTGGGGGGCAGTGTTGGCTGGCGGTCCTCCCCGCCGGCTCTGCCTGCAGCCTTGGCAACCCTCAGGAGAACCCGCGGGAGCCAGCCGCCCCGGCCAGCGCCCCTCTGCACCCCGGGTCGGGGCTTGCTCTGACAGCCTCCCGAAGGGCTTCTCTGTGGAGCCCGGCGGCCGCTGCCCTTGGAACAGAGTCCCCACGGGGACGCCTCCCTGGCCAGGATGCTGGGAGCACACCCACAGGGCTGGCGTGAGGGGCCGCCTGGGCCCCAGCCCACAGTCGCTCACGAGTCCCAGAATGTGTGGTCACAGGCGTCACGTCGTGGGCGTGGGCAGAGCATAGAAAGAGATCAGAGCAGTTGGGTCAGAAACGGAACCCAGGACGGCCCCCGGCTGGGGGACAGGGCTGCAGAGCCCACTGCGCAGCCATGGGGGCTAGAGCTGGGCCACTTGCAAGTGTGGCCCCCCAGAACCTGGACACAGGCCCCCCGGTGAGGGCTCGACTCCGGGCTCTTGCAGGGGGCCGCCTTGCCGGCTGCAGGCCTGCTCCCGAAAGTCCGTTTTCCCTGAGGCCTCTGAGTAAGTGTCTTTTCAGGGCTGCTCTTTCCTCACGTAAAGTGGCTCAGGTGACTCCCAACACCGCGCTCCTGGGGAGGGCACGCCCTGTCCTCCCTTCCTCCGGGTCTATCCCAGCTCCTCCAGAGACCCGAGGGCCCCACTCGTGTCCTGGGCCCTCGGGAGAAGGTCGGCGAGGCTGAGAGCAGGCCCGGGTCCCGCCACTGGGGAGAGGGTGTGGATTTGGGTGCTGGGGCCTCAGTGCCTCGGGCCGTCTCCCCGCCCCGACCTCTCTTCCTGCCGAACTAGCCTGGCACACTCCAGAGGCTTCCGGGCTGCCTGAGGAACAGTGGCCACTGGAGGGCACAGATGCCCGCCAGCCCTGGAGAGGCGCACCAGGAAACGAGGCCAGGACAGAGCGTGCTGGTCTGTTCCAGGGACTCCGGGCTGCTTCCCGCTCTGGCTCCGGCGTGTGTGGCCAGGACAGGGGCACAGTGCAGCTTTTCATGGGTGTAGGGAGCAGCCGTGCCTAAGTAGGCCACCTGCCTCCCTAGGGGCCTTGGACACCAGTTCCTCCTGGGCCTCTGTCTGGCTCAGAGGCAGCCCGCACACACGTTCTCCTCTTCCTCTCTCTCGTTCTCTACTCCCCGCCTCGTTCCGAACACCCCTCTGAGTGGACTGCATGCGTGTATCGGGGCCATGTGGTGACCCAACACAGGGACCCCACAGCGCAGGGTCCAGATAGTAAGGAAGAGAGCAGAGGGAGGCCTCTGCCGGCTCCTCCACTCCAGGTGACCCCGGTGCCCATGACCTGTGCACCCAGACTGTCACCCTGGTGCATACGCAGCCCTCGTGAGTCCCGGAGGCCGAGTGTGGGTGCCAGCTGGCTCCTCATTGTCCTTGCTGGAAAGGTACAGACTCGGTGGGGGTCGCAAGAGGCCAGAAGCAGGCCTGGTCTCCACAGTCTGTGGTCTTCGTTCACCCCACTCATGGAAGAGGTGGCCTCCTGCATGTGGGGTCCCCATTTCATTGTCAAGACTCGCTGGCCCTTTCTCTGTCTCATCCTGCAAGGATGTTCCCCAGGGGTGCGGGCTCTGGGGCGGCCAGCCTGCCCCTCTCCCACCTGGAGGGCTGGGCTTACAAGCTCTCTGCCTATGGCTTTGTTCACAGGTCCCTGCGGACCAAGGACCCAAGGGGACCAAAGACCAGAAGCCACAGCCCCCGCAGGTGTCGTCTGTGCCCCGACTCCAGAGGAAACTGAAGGAGGCGGCCCGAGAAATCGTCCGCCTCCGCCTGGAGAAGGAGCAGCTCCTGGAGACAGGAAACAGGCTCCGAGCGGAGCTGGGCCGCGGCCCAGGTGAGCGTGGGGTTGGCGGGTCGGGGGCCTCACAGACCTGCTCTCTCCTGGCCTGCCGCCCGGAAGGGGGGAAGCTTTGCCGCCCTGCGGCGAGAACGGGCCGGGGGAGGGCCTGGCCTGGCATCTCAGGCGGGAGAACAGAAGCCTCCCTTGTGGAGTGAAGCTGGGGTCAGGGGTCACGGGCACAGAGCAGAGCTTCACGCTGCCACGGGGTTTCCACGAACCGGTTCCTGTGGCAGCACTTGTGAGAAAAATACTGCAAAGCGGGCGGCCTTTCTGGGCCACCGTGTTCCTGGGCCGGCTGTGCTGGGCTTCTCCGAGTGACGGCCGCTGTGTCTGCACTGCGACCCGGGCCCAGCTGCCTACAGGTGTCTGAGAGGGTGCTGGGTTCCGAGACCCACAGGCAGTGCTGAAACCGGGCTGGAAAGAGACGTGCCCTTGTTCCAGCCTGAGGCACGGGCCCCGGCAGCCACTGTGAGTTCTGTGAGCTCACAGAACCCCGGGGCTTCGCTTGCAGCCGGCGAGACTCAGACTGATACCGCTTTGGCGAGAATTTATTAGATGTGGGTTCACTGCAGGACTTCATTTATCGTACTGGCATTTCACAAGCCACAGCGTACAGGATAAGGTCTCTGAACAAACCAGTAAGGAAATCATATGCTCCGAGCCAATGGTAGACTAACGGCACGTCGTTCCAGGCGAGGGAAGACGGCCGGCATGGCCCGGATTTAGCTGCCAGCCTATAAAGCGCCACCATAGAGTGGTACCTGGTGGCCCATAGCACTCTGCTATCTCCTGGACCTGTGGCTGTCCTCGTTTTCTGAGGCCTTCATGTGAGCAGTGGTGCGATATTCAGTCCACACTGCCCTCTCCCCATCGTCTGTGCACTATTACCTATGCTCATCTTCGCAGCAACCGTAAGCACGGAGAAAGGCTTCCCTAAACAAGGCTAAAAAGTAAACTACCCCATAGGCGGGGGAAGGCAAAGATCAACCGCTGTGACGGTACATTTAAACGTCTCTAAGGAAAAGACGCAGCGAACACAGACAAAGGGAGATGTTTTCGACGTGTCTGACGGGCGGAAAGGATCGATACCTAAAACAGGTGTCTACAGATCACACGCAAGGGCCCAGATGGCCAGTCCCAGGAGAAGTGCACGTAGCTGATGAGGGTGCGGGTGACACATGGCCTCAGGAGTCTGAGGAAGCCACTGAAGTCAGCATTGAGTCTGAACCTCAGATTGAGCAGTGTCACTTGGCAGTGAGGAGCACGGGGCACGTGCGTGTCGGTGGGGGTCTTCGTCGTTGAAACCTTTTGGACAACTTGACTGCGTCTGTCTCTTTCTACCATTCTGCCCTTTGAATCGGCAATCCTTCTCTTAAAAATCTAATTAAAAGATACTTCACGGGGGAAAAGGATGTATGTGCAGGATATTCTCAGCAGCGCTTTCGCTGTGGTGAGAAAGTAATTGGGAATAGGGCAGACCCCGGAGTCCAGAGCTTGGGGCGCTGCTGGGCTCCCTGCAGGTCACCCCCACCGGGTGCTGCCTCCACCCACAACTCGAACCAGGTGGGGCGGAGAGCTGGCTTTTCCGCCGTTCGACTCCAGTCCTTTGCGGGTGATGCTTTGGCAAATACAATAAAAAGGTGGCGGTGCCAGGTCACCCCCAAAGCTCCTAACGCTTATTCTCATCGTGGGCCCGGTGTCGTCTGTGCACCACCGGGCCAACTGACCCCTCTTGGGCAGATGCCACCTGGACAAGCCTTTTGCGGACAGAAGCCACCGCCGGAGAGCGTGTCTGTGTCAGCAGGCGGGCACACGGGAGACGGTGTGTGTGCGTGCGTGTGACTGTGCACGCACATAGACGGAGGGCTGTGAAGAAGCATGTCCGTTTCTCTGCGGTTTGGGGAGGAAGCTACCGAATGAGATTTTGGGACTTTTCTCTGAATACTTCTGTATTGTTTGCAATCTGCAGCTATACCAAACGCTCTCAGTTTGCTTCCTTCTGGGAAGGCCATCTTCCCCCAAACCATGCGGGTGGTGGGGTTTCTGCTCTCCCACAGGCGTGCTTGGACCTCATGGCAAAGGCTTTAGGCGAGACTGGTCTGTCTGCATTTATTTTATAGAGATGATTTATCTGGTGCGTAAATACAGGTGGCGTATAAACCAACTGTGACGAAAATATCTTATCATCGTTTAACAGCATGAATAACGTAAGACAGTCCAGCCGAGGTGGCATCATCTGTCTCCTGTGGTTTCCAGGTGCTTTTCCGGGCGCTTTTCCGGGCGCCTCTGCAGACCACCCCCCACCCCGGCCCCGCCTGCACCCGCCCCGGGATGTGTCCTCCCTCAGCTGCCTGCGGCAAGCACCCCGTCCCTGTCTCCGCAGCCCGGGGCTCCTCGAGGGGTCATCTGCAAGAATCTTCACATCCAGTGCTGTTGTAAAGACTTTGCTTTGGGGGCAGTTGCAGGATCGCAGCAAAACTACCGGGAAGGTCCAGAGCTTGTCCGCGTGCCCGCCCCTCGCGCACAGCCTGCCCACGTACCCGCCACGGTGCTGTCGGAAGCCTCGTGCAGGGATGTTTCGCCTGCTCGTCCCTCCCCCACCCCGGCAGCCCTGGATCCTTGTCCTGTCCCCACAGCTCTGCCTTTTCCCAGGGTGCCTGGCACTTAGAGTCACACAGCCTGGAGCCTTTCATACCTGGCCTTTTCCCCTGAGTTTTTGTGTGTTCTGATTATAAAAAGGCTGTTTGCTCATTGCAGAGATGTAAGTGTGTGCAGGGAGGTGTTAATTCCTACAGGAAAGCACAGATTACTGACCTGAGCAAACCCGCGGCCCGGAGGCGGTGCCGGGCGCCTGTCTGTCCATCACGGTGTGAGTGTGCAAGCCCCCACACGGCCCCACGCTGGAGCGCGTGCCACACGAGCTCTGGACCGGCCCTCTCAGGACACGTGAGGCCCGGACGGCCGAGCCCACCTCCAGCCAAAGCGGGTCTTGTGCGTTCCCAACAGTGAATGAAAGCGCTTGTCTGACCGCAGCCTCGCAAGACGCCGTGCTCGTTCGGAGCTGTCTGGGCCTGTCCACTCAGGGAAAACGCGTCGTCGTTTAACTCGGATTTCCAGTGCGTGTGTGCTGCCAGTGCGTGATGCCTCATCATGTCGTTTTCCTGCTGAACTTGTTGTTCGTCCAGAAGTGATTTGCTAAAAAAAAAAAAAAAAAAAAAAAAAAAAAAAAAAAAAAAAAAGGACAGGGGTGCCTGGGGGGCTCCGTGGGTTAAGCATCTGGACTTCAGCTCAGATCGTGATTTCACAGTCCGTTGAGTTCGAGCCCCACATCGGGCTCTGTGCCGGCAGCTCGGAGCCTGGAGCCTGCTGTGGATTCTGTGTCTCCTCCGCTCTTTGCCCCTCTCCCATTTGCACATGTGCTCTCTTTCTCCCTCTCTCAAAAATAAACATTTGGGGCGCCTGGGTGGCTCAGTCGGTTAAGCGTCCAGACTTCGGTTCGGGTCGTGATCTCACGGTTCGTGGGTTCGAGTCCGCATTGGGCTCTGTGCTGACAGCTCAGAGCCTGGAGCCTGCTTGGGATTCTCAAAAAT